AATGCTACTCTCTTGAACCAGTATCTTTATTATGCCCATAACATTCTTTCCTTGTGCCTTTGAGATGTATATTAAACCTCCCTCCCTTGCATACTGAACATCTGTCAGTCCTACTTGCAAACATATGCCCTAGACAGAGGGGTAAGCACTTCTTCCTAAAAGCCAAACAGGTTTTTCAAACACTTCTGCAAGTCTGGACATTATGCATTAATAATGCAAAAAATATCACGTGGCCATATGATTATTTCAACTCATTGTGAAATAGTCACAAGATGTAGACTTCCCCATCCGGAAATTAGGACCACCTACCAAATAGACCATTTTTGCAACCAGATGTAGTGCACACATTAATTATTTTTCCTCATTTCAAAGGTTTAGATTTGGATTACCCTAAGGGCCTCTCCAGATTTCGATTAATCAGAAAGAAGTAGAGAAGAATAAAAAGGGGACACTAGTCTTGGATCATTCTGAGAGTGCAGATCTCCTATGACATCTATCAAGAATGACAAGCCTTCTTCCTTTCGACTCCACACTAGGAACCATCAGGTTCTTCTGCACAGAAAAAACTGCACGAAGAGGGACTCAGGCTCAGGATGTCCACGGCAAGTACTAGACCAGTACTTATATGTAAAACTGCCTTTTTTTTTTTTTTCCTTCCCCTTGGTAACAAGCAAGGACATAACTGATCAAGATATTTCAGCACTTGATTACAGGTAACCCTCCAGGATATCACAAAAGCAATGAAAGTCAACAGACTTGAAGACTGAGTCAAAACCTGGTTTTAAGCCTCCCGCAGGGGACAAGAAGGAAAAAGACAGATGAATATATACAAAAATAATACAAATGGTACATATTCAGAACTTCTGCTCAGAACATATTCATTACTGTACTTCCTGCCCCCTCCAAGTTTTTGCCAAAGGTCCAATGCCAAAAGTAGTGTATGACTTTAGACACATCTAGCTCATAAGAAAATCGGTATATCTGAAATAATTCTCCTATATGCAACATTACCCTTTCAGTTTATGAACATTGGGTTTGCATTTTTCTAAACAATAAAAAACTACTTTCTTGGGAACAGTTTTAAATCTGTTAAACCAGCACGGAGTGCCTTACACTCGGCATTACAAAAGTTCAACATTTAGCAATTTAATTCATGCTGGGAACAACCAAAAACATATTTTATCTACAGCATATGCAGAGAAGTTGGTAGAATCTGTTAAATTTTAGAACTGTTATTTGTTTGCAGATTTATTTAGTTCTTTGTTATAATGCTGTATGCCACAAATCCCTAACTCAGGTCTGAAGTTCTAGGCCTATTCTACCTCCCAACAAGAACTTTTTGATGCCTCTGATGGAGAGCAGGAAGGCAGTACTTTACCTTGCCTTGACTCCTTATTTTAAGTTGCTTTGTAAAATATCATTGAGAAGAAGGTATCTTTTAACAAGCAACTGCAAACAAGAAGGAACCTGCTGTGGTACCTTTCACTGAAGCCATCATCTTTCCATGGTACAAAATAGAAGCCAATACACAGTGATGAAAGTGGAATACTCAGTAGGCACAGAGAACTGGAATCATTCCTAGTGAGAGGGGGGAAAAAACCTCACAAGCATTAAGTCTAGCAAGTGAAAAAGAATGTATACCAGGTGGAAAAGACTGTTATAATGAAGAGCAAAATGAAGTTCTGTAATAAATACATAAATGAGTAAATAACCACGATAAGACACACAGAAAGAAACTCGTATAAGCAATTTATGACTCCTACTGAAGATCCAATTTCTAACATCACTTTTTCACACAAGCTGCACAACACTAATGGCAACTACAACAATCACAAATGCAAACGTACGTGGAATAAAGAGTTGATTAGTCATATAGTGCATACTATGGAAACATTTAAAAACTCACAAGCTAGGAATTAAGAGTCAGTATATGAAATCAGGTTTTTGCTTCTGGAACTATTAGCTCCATTTCCATTTAAAAAGGCAACAAACTGAAACCAAACCCTTGAAAGCTGCTCTTCAGAACAGAACTCTAAAAAGATTTGAAAAAGAAGCTTCAACTGTCATTCCACATTAAGCAGCCATGACAATAAAGTAGGCATAGCCCTTCTCCCACACACCTTCCAAGTCAACTTGTTTCCATCACAGTGATGCCAGTACAGTTGCCCATTACATAACACAGTGTTCAAGCTGAAGAACCAACCAGTTGTGAAACAAGGTGGTAAAAACTGTGGGAGAAGGGGCTGTATTTTTCTGGCAGATCTGATCCACTTCACTGTGCAGCTGCACAAACAGCTGGACTAGCAAAACAAACAGGATAATATAAGGATACAAATAATCAGTATCTACCCAAGACACCATCGCTGCTCAAGAAATTTACTTGGACTTGCAACCTAAATGAAAACCATTCACTTAAGAAGGTACCTATCGATTTTATTCAGTTCAGCAAAACAAATTCTTAGCTAAGCAGTTGAGCAAACACAGGACAGAACATAGTTGAAGCCATTGCCCCCCTAAAATGGAATAAAAGTCAACATGAGAACCAAAACCAACAAAATGTTCACATGGGGGAAAAAAAAAAAAAAATCTTATTCCATACTAATCTGAAATTACCACTAGGTTTATCTGGCTGGGGTTTTTTTTTTGTTTGTTTTTAAACTAGGCACCTTTTCCCTCTGTCCAGTATTCACTATTACAACACTAGCAACTTTCTGTGCAATTCCAGGCAAAGGTTAAATGACACCAGCTTAAACAGGTTTGTTTTCTAAGCAATTTAGTCCCCTCAGAAAGACAAGGTGGACTTCTGTTCCCTCTACATGACCAGTCAGTGAATGATGCTTTGATTTCTCTCACAGCCACCTCACTTCCCTTGTACACTAGGCTAATACAGAAGGCCATTAATTATTGTTCTTATCATTAGTCAAGATTTGCTTGCCTTTTTTTGTTTAATACTGAAAATCACTTTACTAAACATGCATCACATCCTTCTTATGTATTTTAGAAAGGTAAACGATAAAAGCCCTGCCTCTTTCATCAGTTTTCAAACCACCTCCAGGAGGTTTGTTCATTGTCCAGGAACAATCAGGTCTCTAGAAGTCACTCATTTTTACACTTAGATCACAGTGTAGTACGACTTTGTCTATTCTCTATCCCAAGACTACTACTTTTTCACAATTTATTTTACTGTAAACATTACTCATACACATACATATTTGTAGACATAGATACAGTTGGACAGCTGGCTCCATTTATCTCACTGTACTATAGTAAGACATTCATAACACTCACAATAAGCTGACATAGTCACAAAAAGAAAACAATTTTCACCCTTTTCCCCTTCTCGCAATGCTTCCTTCCCTTGTGTTGATGAGAATTAGGTGAACTAAAAAATCAGTTGGGGAATTCCATTAAAAAAATCCAGTCTCAAAATGTTGGTCTTAACCTCAGTTAATTCCCTGATTTGATTAATCACACAAGAGCTTGTTTCACATAAAGGAGAGGAAGTACAAGAAATAAGCCACACTGCATAAAAGATGTTTAAAGAACCAGGAGTACTACCTTAAGCCAGCTCATCATGTTCCTCAAATGACTGCCAAAGCTATATAACCTGGCACTGCTAAAGTAGAATAAAAACTCATACCTCAGTAGCTTACGAAATCTACCATTACAGTCAAGATGAAATCAAAGATACCTGTACATTGTACACAGCATTTCATGTAGTCACTGAAAAAAATTTTCACACTTTTTTTTTTTTTTAAATTCTCCCAACTATTTTTAGGGTCCTGTCTGATTGCCTCTCTCACTCAGATCAGCAGACAAAGCCACAACGTTCACTTCTCAAATTACATTTAAATAATTTCAAAATGCTTATGTGTAATATGAACAGCACCCTCTTTAAAGTTTTGGTAAAGATTTTTTTAAAGTTTCATTAATGCCGTTAACTAAACATTCAAGTGGGCTCAGTCACACTATTTCTCAAAACTTTTCAGATAATCAACATATATACACACATTTTTAAAAACTGCCCACTAGAGAAATGTACCTGTAAGTTAATGCCTCCCTCACACAATTTAGTGACTGTATAGTCATTGCATATAGTGTTAAAAATGCTTCTGCTGTGTTATAGAGCACAGCATTTCTTCTATTCTTTCTTGAATAAAGACAATCCATTGGTGATCTGCAGATTACAGTGAGGTCAAGCATTTACATTCTTAAACAGTGGACAGTTCCAAGGGAAAGGTCCTCCAGTACTGAGATAGTCCGTTACCTTTCTCCCTTCCCCACTACCAAAGCATCACTTCTTTAAAGCGTGAATCAAAACTTCTGTTAACCATTCAAGTAAGGAATTTAAGCATCATCTACTAGGAGCTATACTGACAAAGAAACATAGATCAAGGTCTTACATAGAAGCAGATATAAGAATTAATCGATTTCTAAGCCCATAAATGAAACTTTATTAAAAATAACTCCAAATAAATCAAATCACTAATGTGAGGCAACTTAGATGTGGCATCACCCCTCTTCCTTTTTCCAAGGGTCTATTTTGAATAATTTTAGTGATCTATACTGTTCAGCCTGTTCTAGCAACAAAAATGAGTCAGGGACGTGGGTCAGGATACCTCCAGCTTAGATTTTATTCTTTCCATACATATTTCACACTTACTCTGGCTCACGCTTTTCATATAGTCCTGTTCACAATGTCACTCTATGCCCACACATCTCTTCTCAAATCATCTCCATTTAATTCTGCATGACACCACTGCATCACACCTTCCCTTTACTCCAGCAGACTTAAAGTGTACTCGTTCCTCTAGTTTTGATCTCCAGTTTGATCTTTGTTACATAACTCATATTCTAATAGCAGGAACCAATACATCATTTAAGTGATGTTCCACTTAAGTTTATCAGAGACTTTTACTGTTGTTGGATTTTTATTTTTAACTGGTAAGAGAGAAGACAGTAAACATTTGAGAAATAGCAACAGAACAAGCTTTACTTACCTTGAAAATACCAACCCAGTCTTTCTGATGAGGATGGATAAACTGGGTCAGAGTGTAGTGACATTCAAGGTGCATGTTTGGAAGATAACTTTTTGCCACATTTTGAAAAATCACATGTGCAAAATTGGAAGTCTGCAAAGTGTTAGCTGAAGACGGAACTTCTTGAAAGGATGACATGATTGATCTGTAACAAAATTGTAGAAGTTGCTACTTCAATATAGTGGAAAAATGAGTCAAGGTAAAAAAAATTAATCTATTTGAAATATACAAGAGAGAAACCTAACAATTAGTTTCTCTGTTCTGAAAACAAATAGCTATAGACCAAATCCACCAAAGTGCACTGTCTCAGCATCACTCCAAAACAATCACCACTCAGAATAAAAGGGCAGTTATTTCAGTGATGACATCAAGATGGACAGAAAGCGTTGCTTAGCTGAATGCTCCCAGTATTATATCTCAGATACAGTGGCAGAAAGTGGGAAAGAAAAGCGGTGGTGTGAAAACAAAGTAGGGTTCTAACTTAATGAAATATTCTTAATTGTTCTGGACGTGGCAGGGAAGTAGAAACAAAGCTTCATAGTTTCCCTACTTCAAACTTTTCTCAGAATCTGTACTGCTCATTGCTTTTCACAGCATTTTTATATGTGAAGTTTTTCTTCCCCTCTCACTAAAAACAACAAAGTTCCATGCTAAGACATTTTTTAAAAACAAGAAAGCTTAGATAAACAGGACAGGTTTATTTGGGGTTGGGGTTTTTTTTCCTCCTTCTTCAAAAGAGTTCTCTTGCCTCTGTTTAGCAGTCTGTACTCATTTTTTACAGTTACCACTGTAACACATATGCTCCCAGTCTTGCACATTTAGCTTCATTACCATCAACAATGGATTTCATTGATAGTGGGAACATTTACGTATGCATGCAGTTTGACGAATTAACACTAATGAGTTGGACTGCAAAAGCTTTAAGCTTTTAATCATGCTTTCCACTCACCACCTCATTCAGGATACATAAAGCTAAAAATTACAGATGCTTCACAAGCAGAACAAGAATGTCCCTTCCTCAGATTCGGCAATATCTGCCAAAAATAGAAGATGGGCAACTGAGAAGTTTCAAGTGTTTGATTTCAACGTACAATCACAAGTTTGTCAAAACATTTGATATTAGGAGGATTGGGGCCCCGTATCTAACACATTCCTAGAAAGATGAGCCATTCTATTCTTGCAATTGCTATTAAAAGTAATTTTATACTGATCAAGTAAATTCACACCTTGAACGAGGTAACTGCGAAGTGTGTGACATTAATGTATTACTTTCATTGAAGATACATGTGGAAACCAATCCCAAAAAGGGATGGGCCACTGCAAGTCTCAAGAAGTTCAAAGATTAAAGACTGTCTGTGTATTTCCTGCAGCCCTTTAAAATTTCTTTTCATCAGTTAAAAAATAAGTAGCAAAAAGCTCATGTTTTCTGAAATAAAATGCCCCCTGAAGTAAACATGTATTCATCATTCAAAACAAGGAAAAGGTAAACAGGGATTTTTTTAGGTTTAAGCCTTCAATGTTTTAAGCTTATTACTGCTCAATTTAGTGTAACACATGAAGTACATACGGACAGCCATGATGTTATTTTGATGTATCAGATGTTAAACAAAAAGCAGTTTTGTACCCCAAACAACACAAATACTAAGATAAAACATCAAGCTTGTGAAGATTAACAGATATAAAGGACAAAACCAAGAACTTAAACAAGTAAGAAATTGAATAAAGATCAAAAAACAGAGACAACAGGGTATGCATAAATCCTATCTGTTATCTAGCTTCAGAGTCCAGAAAAGTGTATGAAATTTTACAGCATAGTGAAACCCTGAAAACTCCCACACCTCTCAAAAAAAGATTACATTTAAGACATCTCTCAAATCCACTCTGAACTATAAATGGTATAAAGCAGAAGTTTCTACAATTCTAAAAGAAATAAAATAGCCTTAATTATTTTTGAGTGCAACAAATTCACTCATTTTCAATAATTTAGTAGTACCTGAAGCCAAACATGAAACAGGATAATGAAAACTGAAACAGTCTTTCTCAGTACAAAATGGTAAACAATGCATTAATAACAAAAACAATCGAATTTAACTTTTTTTTAAAAATAGGTCTATTTTAAAAATTAGATAGTTTATTCTAAGTACATATTACAAAAAAAAAACCAACCACCAAACATTTATTTCTGCACACTGGCTGCCAGATACCAAGCTGACTACCAGCCTTAGTGAAATCAGTAAAGTGAGGCTGGTTTCCAAGCCCAAAGCAGAACTATTCACAAAACTGAACTTGTGCAAACCAGCAGAATCATCCGGGATTACTGTTCCCCAGCAGGAAAATCCCCGGAGCTTAGGTGAAGCTGAGATCTACTTACAGTTCAAGGGTACTTTAGGGGATGCTGGGTGACTGCTTGCCTAGCTCACGGCTACCGGTTGGGAAAGGGGAGCTGGAGGAGGAAGAGCTACACTTAGGCTTCATTACTGACATGACAAGCGATTCCCTCGGGGAGGCTGAACAACGCGTTCAGTTGTACGCACCGAAAAGGACGGAAGGAGGAAAAGCTCGTCAGGCAGGAAAAACAAAAGCAACG